CACAGTGCCTTAAGGAACCAATGCATTCCATTTGGGGGTTATTAGTTTATAGCTAATTATAAATTATATCTGATGGGAATAGTTCAAATGGTATTCTGCTTAAGAAGGCAGGGAGGCAGATAATACTCTTTAAATCCTTGTTGCATAATAATGTGTCTACGAGATAGATGCAGGACACTGGGGGTGAGGTATGAAAATGATCCAAATAAGGATTCTATCCCCCCAAATCATTACGGCCTAACAGTGAAGATAATAAAGATACAATAGCAAAAGGTAAGGGGTGCCTGGGTGGCTCAGCCAGTTAAGCATCTGACTTCGGCTCAGGTCATGATCTCACAGTTCGTGGGTTCGAACCGTGCATCGGGCTCTGTGCTGCCAGCTCGGAGCCTGGAGCCTGCTTCTGATTCTGTGTCCCTCTCTCACTCTGCCCCTCCCCCGCTCATGCTCGCTGCTCGCTCTCTCTTGCCCTCAAGAATAAACATTAAAAAAAAACAAAAACCAGCAAGACGTAAAATGCCATAGACAGACGCAGATCAAGTTATCGGGAACATACAGAGGGAGGAAATTATTCTTAGCTGATAGGGTCAAGTGACTTTCTTTAGGAAATGACATCGGGATTGGGTTTTCCCAGACTCAGCCTGCAGAGCTGAGGTGAGAGGAACATGGTGAGCAGGGGCGTGGAGTGGCGAGGGGAGAGCAACACCATCTTTCACAGAACTTTCGACACCGGGGGCAATCTTTTATCATCTGCGCCGCTCCATACGGCTGGCTCTAACCACCTGTGCCTAATGTGATGAAGGAGCTGGATTTTAAACAAAGTGTTTCATTTTAATTACTTTAAATTTAAAGAGCCACACACAGCTAATGGGCAGTGCAGGTACAGCACGTATGAGATGATTTCCAACATTCAGAAAAGTTCTGGCGTTTAGGGAAAGGTATTTGTTTCATCTCTCCTCCCCAGCATGGCCTGCTTAGAGGACTTCAGACAAAGGTGCACTATCTTCTTACACAGCCATGGCCCAGCACACCGCATCGATCCCCCCACGGTTTACTATGCCACCTACCATGAACTTTCACACCCTTTATCTCTACTGGGATTCACCGGCCTGTGACAGAAGTGGGAACGTGGTTCCCCCAGTCTGGAAGCCTTCCCCCCGCCCACACCCACGGGCTGGACAACGCGACAGGAGCCCAGATCCCCCAGTCACCGAGAGGACAGCTGACCAGGGTGGCAGTCTGATCCACCTTGGGCAGTGCTGAGCGAGAAATGCACTTTGGTTCAAACGCTGAGTCTTGGTCAGCGGAAATTTTGGTCAAAGGAAATTAATAGACAGCCCCGTTTTCTTTCTGTGGTTTTTATTCTCACCATTAGAGAGCTCTGGAAACTGGACATCCATTTTCCTGTTTAATTGTAACTAGCTGGTAGCACCGGTATTATGGTTCGTTACCTTAATAATGACTCTGATTAAACCACTCAATTGAATTAAAACACCTCAACTTATTTGATTTTTCTTCAAAATCTGTAATTATTAATTCTTCAGTTGTCAAGTCAGTGATTTGTAACGTCCTTTAGTTCTAGAACCAGAAATGAAATTTAAATCTCATCCATGTTGCACACAAACAGAAAATGTTCAAAGCCTTCTGTGGACAAGTCAAAGGCCGAGGCTCCCTGCTGCTGCTTTGACAAAACAAACTAGTCTAAGGAGAGTGTTCTGTTTTGAATTTCCCCAGGAGAATCCGCGATGCTTACGGCTAGCCTCACCTAAAGCAACTGATAATGAAATTCCCCACTACGCACACGGACTGGTATTTACCAGGAACTTTATATAAGCATTCACAAAGCTGCGAGGTCATAGGCTTCGTTATCCCAACAGTTCTTTGGTATGTGATGACGACTCCTCGTAGGCTGATGGTACTTGGAACATCTTCCTCTTAACTTTTCAGTAGGTATTACTACCTTTTCTTGTTCAGGAGCTGCAGAGACTCCCTGAAGCCCGACACTATTTGCTAATACGTCTGCTTTTCCCCCTAATAATAATTCTGGCTAACCAGCACTGTCAACGGTAACAGGAATTCTGCGATATCCTAATGTAAGTAAGAAACAGGGCAACACTGGACTCCCAAGGCCTTACAGTCGACACACGTCAGAAACACCACAGAGACCAAGCAGTGTCCATGCCATTAGAACTAAATGGACCAAAATCCATTGTTCCTCATTACCTGGAAACTCGCGGTCTCGAAAGAAAAAAAAAAAAATACCAGCAGCCGTTCTTTCAAATAAACCAACTTTGCCAAAAAGGAGTGGAAAATGAAACGCTACTGATGTGAAATATCCTAAGTATTTTTAGTGCCCTTCACACGTGAGGCAGAAACCTTCAGACACTAATAGTCACTTGTCTATGTGTCTCTTTTGACAGAACGGCGTAGGATCTGATGAGACTCCAAGGCATTTTCGTGTTTCCACAACTGCTGCTGTGTCAATCAACTTTCACGGATCAATACAACTAACATATGGTCCGAGGCCGAAAAGCAGAGGAAACTCAGCAAAGGGCTGTCCCAACGTCGTCCTCTAGAGTCCGATAAGCTGACCACCGGTACTCATCGGCGGGCAGGGACCGTGACACCGTGAATTCCAGGAGTTCAATCTTGCACAGGAACGTTATTTTCATACTACTCCAAACAAAAAGGGCTCTCTGCAAAATTTCTCCTATTTTTTCCTGTTCTAATTAAACCCAGGTCTAATCTCTCTTTCACTGTCACTAACTTGGAGGTAACAGATTATCCTTGATATCTATGGGTTTGCTTGTCCCTCCCCCCGCACCCCCCGCCACCACCCAGCCCTATCTCTGGCAGAAAATGAGTAGAAATGCAATCTCTTGAGGTATGAAGAAAACCCTGCTCAATGCAGCTGTGATGAGAGAGACTAATTTGATCCAAACACATCTGTGGAGTGTTTTAAAATATGGAAGTTCTCTCCCTTTACCTCTTTATACCTGTGAGCTTATATGACAGTAATATTTCTCTATGTGATCAATATATATATATATATATATATATATATGTATGTATACGGAATTTTACAAACTAAAATTTAAATAGAAGGAAAAAGTAACAAAGGGCTGATAAAAAGACAAGAGGGATGACAAAATGGCATCAAATTGGACATCTCATAAAAACAGTATCAGGTACGTACTGCTTTTCCTCCTTGTACAAATGAGGACAGAAATTAAGGCTCAGAGCAGTGAACTTGTCCAGGGTCACAAAGCTAGGAAATGGTGTGCCTGGGACCTGATCCCAAGTATATCTCACTTGAGAGTCCATGTTCTTGCTCATGTGACATTACGCTGTCACACAAGTTTAAATGGAAGGCACGGTCACAATCATTAGGGAAACAACCTGTACCTTATGTAATCACGTCAACTCTGCTTTGCTATGCTTGTTGGTAATTCTACCCGATTCTCATATTTTTAATCCTTGTTTCCAGGCTCCTTTATCAAGCTCTGCGGTTGTGACATCTCCATTTTCCTCCACTTCATCAGTTTGCAAGTAGCACAAAAATTGTTTTTAAATTTCAGATATTAATAGGAGCCTAACACACAAACTTGACTTAAATGATACACACACAGCTAATTCTTAACTTTTTTTTAAGTTACAATTTAAAAACCTTAAGTTCCCTCAGGGAATCTCTAGAATGTGTCCTAAAAACCCCACTGGTATTGATTTTAGAAGAATCCACAGTAAGGCTTGCTGCGCACAAGCAGAGGCGACCCCATTGTTTGATTCCTGGTAACAGCCATTTATACATGATTGTGTTTGTTTTGATCGAGAGGTTTTTTTCTACCTGTACTTAAAAGTAGTTCAACTTTAAAAAGTCCCACTGTTGTTTCTTCTTACTATCTTTCAATTCCGTAACAATCCCTACCATCACATTCTCATATTCTAAGTGAGCAAAAAAAGAGGGCAATATGCTTTTGGAAGAAGCTCAGACTCCTGCTCAGGCAGGCAAGTCTACATTTACTCTCTGGGTCTAGGAGGTGAGCAAGAGCGAGTGGAGAGGTGAGGGGGTGGCTGATGGCTGGAGCTGAAAGCAGATAAAACAAAAAGAGGATACTGTGGGGGTTTTTTTCTCCCAAAGAACACTAGAAAATCAAACTTCAAAGTCAACAAGCATGGCGAGGGGTGGCCTTCAGGATCCCAAATTCAGGAAAAACTTCATGTCAGTAGGTCCTCTATTTCCTGAACCGTGGCCCTTGCTCTCCAGCTGCTGCAGCGGAGCACAGATGGCACCAGTCTTGCCACACTTCAGTATATGCCGGGACGGGGGACAGCAATGCTCACACCTTTGGCCATCTTCTCACGTCAGTCACTGAGGTGCTGTGCAGTGGCCATCAACAGTGATCGCCGGCATTCACAAGCTTATCTTATGCCTTGTTAAAAACCCCCACGAAACTAAGCAATGCGTTTTTAAAAAACAAAACGATGCACTGAGCATTACAACCAAACAAACCAATCATTTAAAGACATGCTTAAGAAAGCAGTAGCTACCTTCCTGGCTTTAAACAATAAAAACCATGAACGTGTCAACTGGAAAAAATTAATTTTCCTGGAATTATGTGTTTAAGCCTAAAGCAAATAGTGTGCTAAAGACTATCGAAAGGGAAATGGCCTCTCCTAAAGGGGTGGGGGCGGGGGGCATGAGAAAATGCACGAAATGGACCTGGCAGGATTTCACTGAAATCAGGGCTGGCCTGCTAAAGTCCCATTCCTGCGTGAAACCCTGCAACACGCCTAGAGGTCTGTGAGCTAGGGAATGGTTGCAGAGAGCCACCGAGGACAGCACTGCGCTTTCATTTCCAGGAACTCGGAGCGTGTGAGGTACAGGAGTGAGCACAGAGAGCAGACACACCGCACGGTAGGCAGACGGGCACACGGACGTGCACAGCCTGGCCTACGGGCAACAGAGACCGGGCACTTGTGCCCCCGGCCACAGACACACTGACCTTCCTTGAGACTTTTCTGGTTGCTCCCCTCAAGGCATTCCTTCTCTTTGACCGGTTCGAAATCCCCAGCAGTTAAAATCTCCGGGAAGCCCTGTTGCTGCTTCTTGGAGCTATCGATCATGGTGAGAGGCTCCTGGAGACGGGCAGCATCAAGCGGGAGAAAAGCGCAAGGTGCAGAGCAGGTCCGCTCCCCGGGTCCCGGGTCCCGGCTCGCAACGCCCCAGGCACCGGCTGATCAGCTCTCTAAGCAGCCGGAGGCAGCCATTCCCCTCTAGCTCCCGGCCCGACCCGCGCGCACACACACACACCCGCGCGGCGCGGCAGGAAGCCCTCAACTCTCTCCACCTCCCACCAGAGACACCCGCAGGCACGATGCTGAAATCCCACCCCTTTTCCCAGCCAGCCCCCTCTCCCCTGCCATTCCGGCTGCCCCCTCCCCCCGCCTCCCCCGCGCGCCGGGTCCTTCCATCTGCAGTTCGATGGTCCGAATCATCTGACAAACACTGAGTCAAGCGGTTAAAAATAAATCCTGTAGTTGTTAGAAGAGAAGACTTTGCTGATACCTAAGAAGACAAAGTGTTGCCTGCGGTGTCTCCCCGGCTCTCTCAACACACCCGCAGGCTGGGGGAACACTTTCTATCGGCCAGACAGGCACATTCATTACTCATTAAGTTCTCCAGCTAGACAAACGGCGGTCTAGGGCATCAGAAGGAAGCGGGTCTTATCTCAGCGCAGGCACCACACTCCAGAAACGCGCTACCAGCATAACCGGCTACCAGCGCACGCATCCCGCTCCCAGGGGTCTTTGGCGGGGGGCTTTGCCCCGCGTCCCGCTCTTCCGGGCAGAGCCGGGGCTCTTGGTATCGGGGAAAGGCGCTGGGACTGCACCTCTCGGCCGTCACCAACTCAGACCCGGGCAGCACTTTCCCTTTGTGCCGCTAGTCGGCCGAGAGAGTTAACATCGCCATGATTGTGCGAAGGGAAGGTCTCCTCCCATGGATGAGAAGCAGACGCAGCTGGAGAGCTTCTGTCTCCTACGGAGCGGAGCGGAGCGGAGCAGATTCGGCCGGCCAGCGGCCCGAGTTTAATCTCACGTGAGTCATTTAATCTCACGGGCACCCCTCCCGTGAGTCACAGACTGCTGGCTGTGGGTGCCGCTTGGAGGGAACCACTAGGGATGGCACTTCCAGGCAAACGTGGAGAGGAGCCTGTTTTCATACATATCAAATACATATCTACCCATTGCTACAGCCAAACCAGTCTGATTTTTTTTTTTTTTTACAGGTTCAAAGTATGCTCCTCTGCAAAGGGTTCCCATAAAACCCATGAGAGGCTGTAAGAGCAGTGGATGGGATCCTCTTCCATGAGGGCTATATTTTGCTCACTTTTTTTTATAACCAACATCCAGCAAACTGCCTTAACTATTAGCTTTCAATAAGACTTGTTGCATGATTGAGGGAACGAATGAAAGCTGAAGAAGCTCCAACAGGAAAACTTGTTTTGATAATACTCAAAATTCTAAATCAGTCCTAGATCAATGACTATTAGTCACTGATGTGAGGTGAAATGTTCTCCAAAAGAAGCACATTCTCTCTTTAGAATATACACATACGTCTTGAATGTGCCTCTGACATGATCCTTCTGTGGGATAAAGAAAGGATTACGTTTTTGAAGCCAGAAAAATTGCTATCGACTTCACCACTGAAACACAAATGGGGACTGGATGAGGATTCTGTCCTTTGTCCCTGGGCCCAGGGCTGGCATGCACTAAACCCCGTGGTTTCTAGAAAGATAGTGATCTACTCTCCTCCAGCGTCTCTCGAGAATGGGATTACACAACACATGACATGCTTCTTGTCAAGTCAAATTCCTTCTGAAGCACCGTAAGCCCGGCGCTGGGAGTCTAAACCCCCACAGCACAGACAACGCTGAGCTTATCACACACAGTTCGCAAAAATGTGCTCAAAGGCTCCACTACTATTTCCGATTCTGAGGCCTCTGTTCATCTACGTTGACTGTGTCTGCATCTTTAAAGGAGCAAGAAAAGTAACCATAGTTTTTTGAGGACATTCTTTAGGTCAGTCGCCTTTTTAGCAGTTTGGTGAAGTTTATCTCATCTAACCCCCAAAAGCCCTTTCTGACCACTATGATTTTTGGTTCATTGCAGACATTTTACAGACCCAGCCCCAAGTTACAAAGCTTCTAAGGGGCAGGTCGGAAATTTAACCCATCTTAGCTCTCCAAAGCCTGAGTCTTTGATCTTGAGACAGGTTTTAACAGCAGAGGCCATAACTCTTATGGCGTCCTAGCAATTCTACTCCTGGTGAGGGAGAAGGAAGTCGACATAACCATATCAGAATGTTTTCGTGAAAGCATTTCAACTTTCCTGAAATCACTATTTCCTGAAATAATAAGAGCAGTAGCCAAGTCTGTTGAGTGCTTACGGTGTGCCCCAGTCCAAGTGCTGTCCATACGTCATCTCATCTGTCCTGCTGCCAGCCTGGGAGTTCAACATTATCGCAGTTTACAGATGAGGAAACTGGGGCCTAGAAAAATTGACTATTTTGTCGGAGCTCCCGTGTCTTCTACGTGGTGACCGGGATCTGTGACAGGTTGCTTGGCTACAGAGACTGTATTCTTAATTACTTTTCTAACAACAACAACAACAACAACAACAACAACAACAACAACAACAACAATAGATCCTAATATTCTCTTTCTCATAAAGCTGCTTTTGAAATCCCGCTCAACTGTGTTCAGGCCATAAGTTTAGAAATCTGAGTAGATAAGGAGCTCGATCAGCCACGTCAAAATTCTTTACTGGCTGTGTGTGCCTGCCTATGTGTGCTGAGTGGGTTAAAAACTGAAACAGTTCTCTTTTAAGGATCTTCTCTAAACTTATTATTTTTGTATCTGATAAAGATAAAAAAATCTCAATAAGGGAACACATTGTCCTGCTGTAGGTTTCTATCTCAAGTCTTGCTTCTGTAGTTTTGAGAGAAAATAATAATTTCCTTAGTGGTAAATATGCCTGAAAGAACATTTATTTTGTTATTTTTAAAAATCTGAAATAATTTCAAATTCACAGAGCATTTTTTTCCTGAACCATCTGTGACAAGGCTCTGACGTGATGCCTCTTTACCCTAAGCACTACGGTGTAATTCCTACAACAAGGACATTTTCCTAGAAAGCCCCAATATTACCATCAATATCAGAAAATTAACACTGGTTTATCACCATCTAATCCACAGACTCAGTTCCACTAACTGTCCCAACAAAAGGATCCAAACGAGGATCACGTGTGGCCCTGAGTTATTTCAAGTGTCTTTAGCATTCTTCCATTGTGAATAGTTCCTCAGTCTCTCTTAACTCTTCTGTCCTTAAATTTTGAAAATTACAGACCAGTTATTTTGTAGAATCACCCTCGGTTTGGGTTATCTGGTGTGTCTTCTTCATCAGACTCACGATCAGGCTATGGCAGGAGTATCTTGGGCAGGAACATCACGGAAGCAGTGATGCGTTCTCTGCGTCCTGTCAAGTGGTACGCAAATTCAATTTGTCTCATAACTGGTAAGAGTTATTTTGATGAACTGATTAAGACGGTACCGGGCATATTTCCTCATGGTAAACTTAGTTTTTCTCTTTGTAACAAATTATTGTGTGGGGCTGAATTATTTATTACTATGATGGTCACCAAACGGTGATTTTGAAAAGTCTATCATTCCTTCTACGTTTATTAGCAGCACATCCTACTGTAAGAATAAGAATTCCCTGTATCTCGTTTATGTTACCTGTTTCTATCACCATGGACTCCTGGGCTCCTATTTTATTTAGTGGGGGAGAGCATGTTCCTTTCATTTATTCTGATGCTCAGAGTCTTGCAGATTCGGCCAGCGGGGGCCCCTTCAGGCTGGCTTCAGCTCCTGGCTGTCATGGCCCATCCTCTGCATACTTTATTACTTCCCGGTACAAGGCATCCCGGACTCTTTTACTTGTCCCACCCCGCTGAGAAAGCAAGGGCTGTGTACCACGTGCGCTCGTTGCTTTTGGGGTGACAGTGTTCCCAGGCCTCCTTTGGAGGAAGTTAGGGAATATGTCTGTGAGATTATGTGTGTGACTGTACACACACACACACTTACTTCTCTCTATATTTAAGCATGTATTTATTTATATATGTTGAAAACCACGAGTTTGCCCTGATGCCTCCAATTCTGATCCAATGCCAAAGGTTCTTTCTCAGTTTCTCTCTTTTATACATTTGTAACCCCCTTCTCTGACAGCGAGGCTCTGGTCTCCCGTGGTCTGTGCACTCCGTTCGCAGATATCCTGGTCACCTCCTTACTATCAATGATGACCAGACCTGACGCAGGTGTCTCCTCACCCCACGTGGGCTCGAACCCTGCCCTGGACTGCTGCCCCCACGTAGCTCAGCCCCACAAAATGTCTTTTGGATTCAATCAGGGACAAAGGGACGAAGGATGTTTGCATTCTCTCTGAGTAAAAGAAGCCCACAGTTATCAAGTGAACTGCTCTCAGTAGGTCTGTCCTTGTTCGTTACTACATGTACTGCATCATCTTCAGTGTCATTTGGCTCTACTGTCGTGGGGGGCATTTAACTTCAAATGACAAGTGATTAGAGTCACTTTGGTTGTGATAAATCTGCTTCCAGAGTCTTTGTGTGTACACACACGTAAAAGAGAGCTGTTTCAGTACGAAAGACGGTACCGTAAATCAAGTCATTTTCCCACTACTCCAAGCACAGATATTTAATAAGCGTGAGAAAAACTGTGTGGCTTGGAGACCAGGAATAATCCAGGAAAGACTTCAGGGACTCGAAACAGAAACAAATGCGGCTCAAGGGACCTCCACAAAAAATTGGCAGAGTCAACGTATGCTCATAAAGCTGCTGATAAAAAAGAGATCGCTGTGGAAGACACTGCGCTTCGATAAAGAGACTGCACAGTACCACCGATCGGGCAACTGTTCCGCAACCTAAGAGGCCGAGGGTGATGAACGCTGTAATTAGAAGCAGAACGGAAACAGGTTGCTAAATACTGTGTCGTGCTTCTCCTGTAGCCTTTCTGACAACGGACTAAGAGAAGATGCCTTTCCTTTTCACCTCCAGCATCCTGGGACTTTGAAACAGGGCCTCAAGGAGCCTGTCACTGGAGCAAATGAAGGTGCATCCTGGGGCTGGCCTCCACAAGGCCTGAGCCATGGTGTGGCACAAGTCAGGCACACGTGGACAACTAGACTGGATGCATGTAGAGGGAAAAATGGCAGTCTAGGTTACGCCTAGTTTTTTCCCCAAGGGTACCGTATTTTTAGTAAAATACAGATATGATCCTTAATTTTCCCTCTTTTAAAATTATAAGACCAATATAAAAATATTGTATCTTTTAAGGGTGCCTGAGTGGCTCAGCTGGATGAGCACCTGACTCTTGATTCCGGCTCCGATAATGATCCCAGGGTCATGGGATCGAGCCCACGTCAGGCTCCATGCCGAGTGTGAAGCCTGCTTAGGATTCTCTCTCTTTGTCTCTCTGTCCCTCTCCCCAGCTCATACTCTAAAAAAAAAAAAAGAAAAAAATATATAGTATCTTTAGATAAATAACTAAATGGTTATGATAAATTCTAATAATTTTAAAATTATTAAACCCAATTTAACGATCCTGGGAATTAAAATGATATATTTTTGTTAAAAAAAAAAAAAAAGGACAGAATGCCATCTCTGAAATCAGAGGACATATCCCAAAGTCCTTCCTTTTTTTTACATTTTAAGTACACGGATATCAAATGTGTAGTACTTCAGATATAAAGAGATTAACAAATAAGCCCTATGGAAACCACTATTTTATAAGGAGGGACAAGTTTTCCTGTTATTTCTCAGACGAAGGACCGTCAACAGTCTGAACAATTAAGCACGGGAGTAAATGAATACTACGATCGGGTAAAAGAGCCTGATAACTTGGCTTGTAAAGTGTGTTCACGCTCCTGAGGACAGGAACCTCGGCAGGGGTGTTCGGGACTGGAATGTGACCATCTCACCATCGGTGACCACTGATTAACCTCCGCTTACGGGAGAGGCAGGAACTTCACCAGGGATGGGTGAATGGCAGGGGAGGCCGAGGAATGCGATTCCTAGCTCCTTCTCAGTCCCCGTCACGTAATGATGGCATCGGTCAAGAGCAGTGTTGGGTGCGCACAAGTGACCGGTGCCATGGGTCTCCTCCTGCCCAAAGCTGCAGTATGGATGATGAAGAGATGACAGAATACACTTTATCAGCTTTAAAAAAAGTCATCCAAATCCCTGCTCTATTTCTTTTTAATTTTTTTTAACGTTTATTATTGGGAGACAGAGAGACACAGAGCGTGAGCAGGGGAGGGGCAGAGAGAGGAAGACACAGAATCCGAAGCAGGCTCCAGGCTCTGAGCTGTCAGCAAAAAGCCAGACATGGGACTCGAACTCACAAACTGCAAGATCATGACCTGAGTCGAAGTCGGTTGCCTAACCAACTGAGCCACCCAGGCACCCCCCCCCCCCCCCCGTTCTATCTCTAAGCTGGACTGTTACTTATGAACATGTGAAGCTTTACAACAAAGCTTTCCTTAGACCATATATCTTCAGAGTAGCGTTCCATGAATTCGGAGTTACAGAATAGAAGGGAGAATGAAACGGCCACACCTTCGAAGGTTTGGCACAGACAGAAGGGAGGAGGGAAAAGTGAGAGGGTCAAAGCCCAGCAAAGGCGGGAAGACGCATCATCAAGCTACGGGCAGCGTGATGCTGAGGTCAGCACTTGTAATAAGAACACTGTCTACAGGAGTGTCTCTTCACCTTTTTTGCATCATTGTCCCCATCGCCTGGTCCTAATCATTTTCCATGAAATTTTAATACCACAGATTTACTACGTATCTGTTTACGTACTTCATGTATATCTGTGCCTTACACATAAGAGAAGTGATTTTTTTTTTTTTTTCCGCCCATCCCTCAAGAACCAATCTGTGCCCCTGTTGGGAATGCTCAACCCACAAGAGGGAAAAACCAACGTCCCCTGTTCTGCTGAGGGAAAAAATAGTAAGAAAGTAAGAGTGAGCTCTATGTAGGAAACCCTCAACGGGAAAATAACAAATGTCCCCCACCCGTGATAATGATTTTTAGGTCACAAGTAAATTTAACATACCTTTGAGGGTCTTAAAGATCTTTCGATCCTTGGCAGCTCTGAGGTAGGGGACATACGCACTGACATTTGTTTTAGAAAACAAAGAAAAGAAGCTGCAGTTCAGCTATGAAATACTGTGTTTTAAAGCTGGCCTGCTGGTGAACGCCTGTCTTTAATCCTGGTTTTCTGACTCCAACATTATTTTCACCAAAAGCAAAAACCTGTATGGGTTGTTTTTTTTTTTTCTTTTTGCTAAATCTACATATGATTTTCAAAGGCATGTAATTAAGGAAACTGGGTAATTTAATTTCAGGGGGTGACAACATCCCAGATGGATTTATGAAGGGTACAGGCAGGATGGCTTTGTGGAAAGAACATGACTTCGGAGGTGAACACAACTGGGCTCTGAGGGCTCGGAGACCCTGGAAAAGCGCCACCATCTCTGTGCCACGGCCACCTCGTCTACAGAAAGGCAGTGACGACAAGGACGACAATGGGTGTTTTCTGTGGTTATGAAAATCAGGGGGAAAATGCATATAAAGTACCCAGCAGAAGCATGATGGGCATTCCCCAAACAGTGCAGTCTGTGAGGACTCCTTTCTGGCATGATCCCCCTCGTCGGCTATCCTCCGTGGCTGCACGTCTGCTAGGTTAGGGGTTTCTCTAGCAGGAGGCGCACACAGATGTCCGTGGGGAGCAGCACGCTAACCACACACGTGTTCTCCGGGTCCCACCACACCCGATCGGGCTGCCCCTGGGTCTGGGGAAAGTTCACAGGGTTTTGATTTGGCGCTTAATATCTTCTGGTGTCTTCCTACCACTTTAGATCTCATTTATTAGATTAAATTTGAAATTTTTATACATGTGGAAAACCCTGCCGATTCTTCTTCACTTCACTGGAATAATGAAATAGAAAAAACGCCCCCAGGTGACTGACCACGGTCACGCCGTGAGCCATAGGGTCTGAGAACTGAGTAGAACAAACACTCAGACATGGTCTCAGGAATCCAAAGATGTATTCTCCGCTGAGCTCTTCATGGAAATTTTTAAATTCTGTGGTTTTGTTTTGTTAGCCTTGAAAAAACATCCTGAGTCACCATGTAAGAGTGAAGAGTAAAGAGAGCTGGACATCGTGGTGACAACACACGCGGAAGTCCACAGAAGGCAAAATGGTGCCGGGCCAGCAGCGGTCCGAACAGAGCACAGGTCGCGGGGAAGTGCGCTGACAGCACGCCAGGCAGCCCAGGCTCGGAGCCACAGGACAGCAGCGAGCACCGCGGTCGGGTCCAGCAGCAGCCACTCTGACACTGATGTGACTCGTGTCACAGCCAACTGACACGTGTCAGCTTCACAGATTTTACAACTGATATGCAAAAGTGTTTCTGTTTTGTGGTTGTGTTAAGTGCTACTAAACCTAAGTGTATACTTTTCTGTATGCTTTTATACGTTTATGGTTGTACACAATTTAGTAACATGAGATTAGTAAAAATTAATTCTAGTAATTGTTTTTATTTTTCTTTATTTTTTAAACGTTTGTTTGTTTGTCTGTTTAGAGAGAATGTGAGCAGGGAGGGGGGCAGAGAGAGGGAGAGAGAGAATCCCAAGCAGGCGCCACACCGTCAGTGCAGGGCCCGACGCGGGGCTCAAACTCACAGATGTCGAGATCATGACCTGAGCTGAAATCAAGAGGTGGATGCTTGACTGACTGAGCCACCCAGTTGCCCCTCTAGTAATTGTTTTTAAAGGGTCAGTACCTTTCTTGAGTTTGTGAAATACTGCTTCACCATACAACTCAAATGGGGAGAGGGGACCCATTTACTCTGCTGCTTGGCTTCCATACAGTTACCCTGAGGAATTAAACATTTGCCATTACACAATCTGCCTGGATATCCAACCTGGCCATCTTGGGGGTCCTGACACAGGTGGAGGTAAAAGAGTTCTAGAAGACTGTCCAAATCTAACGTGAAACCATGTCATGCCATCACACGTGTTCCAAAACGTTTCCTGGGTCTCTTCTCAAGTCTATTTTGAGTTAACTGTGCCACTGTTTCAAATCATTTCCATTTTCTTCAAGACCACACTACATCACCACCCTCACACCCTTCTCAGCAAGTAGCGTGGCCCCTAGATTTCCTAATACTGAGGTCTTCACACACAAGCCCCACTCCGCCTTCCCACTGCCATTCTGTCACCTGTCTTTATGGAGAAGTTTTTTTTTTTTTTTTTAAGTTTATTTATTTTGAGAGAGAGAGCGAGCGAGCAAGCTGGAAAGGGGCAAAGAGAGAGAAACAGACAGAGACAGAGACAGAATCCCAAGAAGGCTCTGTGCTGATGTGGGGCTCAAACTCACGAACGCTGAGATCATGACCTGAGTGGAATCTGATGAAGAAATAATCTTTCTTCTTGCCCAGGGGAATCCAGACACTTTGTTTAGGGCTGTAGTTCCTTCCCACCTACTTACCAAACTGTGATCAAGAAATTATACTTCTCCACCAGGATCCTTCGTACTTACCAAGATACCCGCATTTCCCCCTTTTCCCTGCATTTCCTAAGATTTTGACTATTTCTGAATGTTCTCCCTTAGCAATCTTATCCTTTGCGCTGGTACCATTAACTCCAAACATCCACCAACACACACATCAACACAAACCCTGCCTCCGGATCATCATGCACTGACTTTCTAAATGGCAGTTTCTAAATGAGTTTTCCTTCCGCAGTTAAGGTATCCTTGATTTTAGGATTACATGCTATGTACTGAGGACAACATCATCTATAATTTTATAACATAGTCTTTGCCCGACTTTATATTTTTTTAAAGCTTGTTTATTTTGAAAGAAACAGAGACAGAGCAAGCGTGGAGGGGCAGAGAGCATAGGGGAATCCCATGCAGGCTCCCCACTGTCAGCACAGAGCCCGAAGTGGGGCTCGAGCCCACCAAACGGTGAGATCATGCCCGGAGCCAAAACCAAGAGCCAGACGCTTAACTGACCGAGCCGTCCAAGCACCCCTCTGGGCTCGACTTTAATGGAGAAACAAAGATTAATGCTGCCTGAATGAATAAGTCAATGCCACTGGACCAAAACTCCTTCGGGCCTCTCTACCCACCTGATTCTGCTCACATTTGTTAGCTTGGCATTAAAACCACCAGTGTCTGGGGCGCCTGGGTGGCGCAGTCGGTTAAGCGTC